TTGTGTGCCTTTTATAGAGCCACAGACTGGCCCAGACTGGAAAGGATTGTCTGTTTCAGTCTTTTGTGGGAAAGGGAGCCAAGGTGATTGTAGCAACCTTGTCCATTTGTGTCTTGAAGACCTCCAGTGGTGGAGACTCCACCATCTCCCTGAGGAGGTTATTCCAATGAGTGATTTTTTTCTCACTGTAAAATGCTTATTTCTTACATTATGCTTTGTTTCTGCCCTGTGAGTGTCATTTTTTTTACTAGCTTTTGTCTGGATATGATTTTTCCTAGTTTTTTTTTTGGGAAAAAAACATCAGACATCTAGATGTGGGTTTCTTGGTTTAAGAGCATCTTATTTTGCTGCTTGTGGTATGGATCTGGCACTTTTGCTGCTCTTCAAAATCCACATCTGGGTAGTGATGGGATGCAGGGGACCTTTGGATGGGGCAGGGATGTCTGGGGCTGGACAAGCCCGACATAAGCTGATAATGAGACATCTTGTTCGTTGTACCACCAGTAATTGAGCCTCTTCTTCTTTGTACCACATTGATTTCTAGGCTTTAAGGTCATTGTTTAGTCTGACCTGCTGTATAACAGAGATTCCTTGAATTAATTTCCACTCTGCAGTCAGCAGTCGTGAATGGAATCAAGCATACATTTTTAGGGGAGCAAGAGATACAAGGTGGAAGCATCCCATCTTATTTTAAAAATTGCCAGTGCTGAATCCTTGGCCATGCCAATTGGAGGACTTTTCTTTCTGTTAATTACCTACAATATTGAAAAATGGTGTCGCTGTTTCTGTTTTGTTTTCTGTTGAGCTTCAACTTTCAACCTTTGGTCTCGGTATGCCTTTGTCTGGCAGGCTGAGAGCACTCTCTGACAGGTACCTACAGGCTGCGAGGTGCCTTTTAACTTTCTCTTTGATTGACTTCCTTGAGCTCCTTGCTACAAGCCTGGGTTTGTTCTTGTGGTTGTCCTCTGAACTCTCTCCAGTTTTTCCAGCAGTATTCTTGAAGTGTGGGCACAAGTAAGAAACCTCACACTCCCATCAGCTGTGCCAGCCCAAGGCCTGCAGATAACAGGGCCTCTGCTGGTACGTGACATCCCTCTCTGTGGAGCCCAGCACCATGGACCTGCCTTGCGAGCTCACGTTGGGCTAATTATGCCTCTTACCTCAGCCAGTCCTGTAGGTCTTGTATGTTTAAAGAGTTTCCATGCACCCATTTCTTTAATATGCCAAACGTCTCTTTAATCTTTTTGATTTTTTTTTTTTTCTTGGTTTGTATTCTGAAAGGAGCTTTAGTCCAACCTTTCTCCCTGTACCAACCACACGTCAAAAATCTTTACAAAGCTGAGAGCTGTTAGGAGTGTGTTATACAGAGCTGGGGGAAGGAAAGTAATTCACAAGAGGGAAATAACACTGAGATGTATCTCCAGTGCATGGTGGGAAAAGATGCATACCACTGGCTCCAAAGTCCTGCAGGCTCTTTTGACCTCTTCAGATTTTGATGGGTTGTGTTCTCCCATGAAGATTAACCATGGAGATGGTTAACCTGCAAGCCCTGTGCCAGTCAAACCTGTCACTGCTGGCTGTGGAGTGTGGCACCAAGCTTCTTGCCTGGGGGTCGTGGGCTGACTGCTCCCATTGGGGGTTTGGGTCAGTGCTGGTGAATTTCTAGATGCTAGACCCAGAGAGTTAAGTGTATTTCCAACAGAGGTATTTTTATTATTGATTCTGTGTTGCTTCTTATGTATAATGATTCAGAGGAAACAAAGGTGTTGATCTGATGGGGAACCTAGAAAGCTTTTTTGGTAATAACATCCAGATGTTCCCTTAGCACATCTGCTTAAGCCACTGTTGAAGTCAATGCCTTCAGCAGTGCTGCTGGTGTGTTTTACTGCCTGCTGCTGTGTGTGATGCTAATTTATGAGTAATGCAGAAATGGAGGAGGGGGAAGTTTAGCAGCAGAAACAAGGACAACCATCTGCCAAGGAAGCGTGGGAAAGGAAGGCAATCCAGACTGTAACCCAAATTATTCTTGCTTTTACAATTTGTGTAGGGTATGTGGAAGTACTCTTGCATGTAATTGTAAGTACTGTGCCCCAGGTTTGCCTGGTTACAGGTCACTGTGTACCTGTGCTGTTGCAACTCAGCCATGTGGGCAAGACATTTGTCTGTCTGAACATTGGCTTCAACTGAGAGCAGGGCAAGCCCTCCTTGTGCAGTGACTGATGTGTGAAAAGATACTCCTGCCTGTGCCCTCATTAGTAGGAAGCTGTTTCTCTCCCTGGTTGTATCTGTTTAGCACTTCAGCACTGCCTTGCTAATCCCTGTGTCAGGATTGTCAGCATGCGGTGTTCCTCCAGGGAGGGTCAGCTTTGGGACAGCTCAGCTGCCTCATGCCAGGGCTTTGGGCAGCCAGGATGCTACTGGGAGCTGTGCTTTTAATGTCACTGTGTCAGCACTGTGCCCTGCCCAAGGGAATACTGCCAGCAGCCTGAGGATAGCGTTCCATAATTCCCAGTGCTCTGAGCTGTGCAGTGCCTTTCTAGGCTGCACACTCCAAGCTCTGGGTCACAGCCCTTCCGACATGGGCTCAGATCTGGTGAGCACTGTAGCTCCTTACACCATGCTGCTCTTCCTCCCACTTCCTCAGTGACTTCTGGCTGGTTTTCAGTGTCACAGAGAGCAGAGCAGACCAGTTTGTGGTGCTCACGGCAAAGTACTGACATGGACCTGGTCTGAAAGGTGATGGCAACCACAAGGTCTTTGAAGAAGAAAAGAATCTCATCTCTCCATTTGAAGGCTAGTGTGTCACCTCCCTCCAGAGATGGTGGAGTGACATTGGAGATTATGCAGGTTAAAATGGGGGAAGAAGGTGGAAATGTGTGGTTGGGGTGTGGCAGAGCTCTTCTGTGAGGAGGAGATGTTGGTGTGGCAGGTGCCTGCGAGATGAATGGCCCAAAGAGGTAGATCTCATCCTATTCCTGTCTCTTCCTCTCTAATGAGTGACACAGCTGAGCTGAGCACCATGAGCTGGCCAAGGATGGACCATCAAGTGCTCTTGGGTACTTGTCAGAGAGCTCATAGCCCAGCTGGGTGATTCATAGGATGGAGGTGGACACTGTATAGCCTCAGAGGAGCCTGCAGCACCTTGGTTTGTGTGTGTGCTCCTTCAGAGAGTAAAGACCCTGCAACAGCACTGCAGGTCTTGAAGCAGGAGAGGCAGTGTGGTCTGTAAATGTTTTTCACATGAACACAGAAAGCAGCAAGAGGTGGTCAGAGAGACACGTTTCTGGAGCTGTGGATGACATTGCCATGCTCATGACTTGGGGCCCATCTTGTTTCCAGTAGCCATCTTCTTAGCTGTACCTCCCATGCTCCTGGAGCGTGCCAGAGCCATTTGATCCACCACATCAGCTATGATCTTGTCTCTTCTGGCAATGAACCCTGCTGCTTGCTTCCCTAGCAAAGGTGTGTTTGAGCATCAGTGGCTTTGTACCTCCTGTGCCACATCTTGCACCCAAGGAAGTGGGTGCTTCAGCAGCATAGACCAGCTTTCCTGCTTCTCTTAGAATGATACCATAGAAAGACCTGGGCTGGAAGAGCCTGTAGAGATCATCTATTCCAACCCCTCTGCCATGGGCAGGGGCTCCACTTTGCTGTTTGTAACTAGGAATATTAAATCTGGGTAGGACCAAGCTTCCACTAATATGAGAAAGCTCTTCTTTTATCAGGCTAAATTACAAGTTATTCCCAGCTGCCTCCTAAGCCTGAGTTAGTTTCTATGTCAGCAGCCCACCCTGGCAATCCTTCTCAGTTGGTGGGTTGGAGTTAGTTTGCAGGTCCTCCCTAATGGGATGGGGCTGCTGGCCTCTTTTCTGCAGCTCTTCCATCCCAAAGGAACCTTGTAGACGTCTCCATTGTGATTATTTTCCATCTCTTTCAAATGTCCCCTGAACACAGATGAAGGCTGCTTCTTTTTTTCTCAGGACCATTACATTGGGCTGCTTGTGTCTGGCCAGTGTCCAGTGGAGGAGCTCCTGAACATCATGGAAGTCTTTAGTTTAGATAAAGTACCTAAATGCTGTGTTTCCATTTCTTTCTGCACGCAAAAAAAAAAAAAAGGCTATTTTTGATAAAACTTAGAATTTAATTTAGCTGTGATTTCTGGAGTTGTTCCTGCCTGCTCAGTGGAGCAGTATGTTATACCCAGCAGAACTATCTCTTCATTAGTATTAATCAACACACAGTGTAGTCATTTTGCTAGTCTGTGAGAGTCTGTAGTTGAACACTTACATTGTCTTAGGGCAGAATTTACATATAAAGCTAACTATATTGTCTTGTGTTTTAAAATCCACCTAATTTGATTAAAGTAGCTCAATGTTTCCTTTGTCTGCATTTGAGCTGACTTACTTTGTCACTAATCCCGTGTCCTATTGCAGTTCAATGCACCCTCAGGAGACAGTCAGCTTCAGTAAATCCTCCTTTTTGGGAAAAGTATAGTAAAAATTTGGAGTGGGTTGGCTACTGACAGTACATCTAAACTTTCTGATGCCGTCTGCATTTTGGTTTGTATTTGAAAGGAGTCTTTGTTTCTAATGGAAGTTATAATACAAAATGTAAAAGTTTGTGACTCCAAAGGGAAATTGTTGAAACAAAATGCTTCAAGTCAAAATGAGTTTCAATACATCAACCTTCAAAATTTCAAGTTTTTTATATTTCTTTCCACTTATTCAGAATGGTAGGAAAAAAAACAAAAAACAAGATCTTTAAATCCCACAAGGGTGATAGAACTAGATTTCTCAGCTTTCTTTAACATCTCTTAGTCATCTTCTGTTGGCTGAATCTTGAGGCAACAAGATATTCTTTTGTCAGTGCTGCAAGGTCAGGGTGTCCTGTGAAGGGTGAAGCAGACATCACTCTCTTGGTACTAATAGAAATCATGTATAAAACCTGAAGGTTTGTCAATCTGTCCTAATCCAGATATTAAAACTGTGCTTTCTTTATAGGTGTATCCACTGTTTGGATGATGAAATTTGGTGACCTGCAATTTGGCTTGGATTACAGTATTTCAGAAGACTTTCTGAACTTGCAGGCAACCCTCCCCCTAGACTTTGGGGACAGAGGAGCTTAAATTTGCATTTCCAGTGTTGCACAAGGAGAAAGGAGTTGGCTTCTTTGCCCAAGTAATGAAAATCAATGCTGTGTTGCTCTTGGAAGAAAGAAGAAAAGCCTGGCATATAGATCTTGGTTTAGAGACAGATTTTGCCTGGAAAGAGTGTGCCTAGGGGAAGATACAGGAAGAAGAGGTGATGCTGCAAGCCAACTTCCTAACCCTCCAAGTGGGACTGAAGCTTTGTAATAAGGTACAAAAAAACCAAAAGCAAAATATTTTCTTTCCTTCGTACCTCACTGAAATATCCATCAGACAAGAAGTGAGATGAGTAATGAGTCCATGCATTGAGTAATCTCTCCTACTGCCCCCGTTCTCTGTCCTGTTCCCCTGGCCACTTCCCACGTCCTGCATCACCCATGCCTTGAGCAGGCTTCATGTAAAAATCATCAGCAAATCTCAACTGCCTTAGTTGTCCACCTGTCCAAGACTTAAGTTTTCAAGCATCTCTGCTCAAAAACACACACACACACACACACACACACACACACACACACACACACAAAAATCATGTTGTTTCTGGAGGATGCTTGTGCCTTTACTTTATGCCTGAGGAACTTGCTGCTCTGTTGTTGGCAGAGAGGATGACAGGTCCCTCACACTGTTTGCACTGCACTCTTTGCGGCTCCAGAGCAAGACAGTGATATGTTTTCCAAACTGATGAGATAGAGAGAGAACTGAAATGTATGGGCTTATCACATTGCTTTGTGTAAAGCCACAAGAGGAGAAAGGCAGGAAACAGAGCAAAATTACCTGTTTTCAATTTACTGCCTTTGGAGAACTGAAAAACATTGGTGGTGGAAAATAAAGCTTAATTTAGTTTTTATCTTCTTTCCTGCTACACATGTTTTTCCTCATAATTATGCATGGTCCCATGTTGGACCCTGGGCTCTGGAGTGCTGGAAGCATTCCTTGGAGGAGAAGGATGGCAGAGGGGTGTCAGGCTTGGTCTATTCTAGTGATACAGCTCCATGGGCACGGGAGACAGAGAGCTTTCCTCTGCTGCACTTCCTGCACTCCGTGCACTCTGAAGGCTGTGTGGTGGAGAGGGTGGAAAGGGTTCACCAGACGCTTGCTCTGAGTATGTGTGGTATGCATGATGTTGCCATGAAAGCCATGCCAGTGTGTGCATGGGTACCTGTACTGTCACAGCAATATTCCCTAAAAAATTTGACAATGATAAAAAATGCTGAACTGAACTCCACTGAGGTGAAAATCCCTCCCTTTTCTTCAGATCAGAGATTTCCTGGCTGTCCCTCACCCTTGTGTCTCAGCACTGAGCTGGAAGGACCATCACTTTGTATTAGAGATTTTTAACCTCTGTGACTCTTTCAGTTGTTGGTTTAACTGCTCTTTTTTCCAGTGAGAATGCCAGTGACGTAGGCAGATATAGTGATGGGAAGATACCACTGTCTAGGAAGCAACAATGGTTTCACATCTATGAAGGAACTATGACTAAGTGTGTAGCTGCTACCTTTTTAAAGCAGATTTGAATCAGAGAGATTCTGGGTCTGCCCCAGTTCATTGGAAGACACAAATTTAAGTATTTGTTCGTTAAGCCTAAGTTTCTGTTTCAGAGTGGATATTTAGATTTTAATCTTGCGTTTGAAATTTTGCCATTTAAAGGTGAGATGAGAAAATGTGTGATACACATTGGACAGCAGCCACACTGTTAAAGATGAAAGGGAATAGAAGTGGCTGTACAGAGGAGAGTGAGACCATCTAGTTTGATATCTCCCTTGGTGATAGCTGAGAGAGGAAAGAGTATAAGAAAGAGTGCTCTAGGAATGAGCTTTCCTCAGCAGATCCCTGCAGAATCCAGTGGGTAATGTGCTAAGCATTTCTTGGAAGTGTCCTTTATGTCCCTTTGTCTCCATGGATCAGATGCTCCTGTCATGCTCAGGTTATGGAGCTCATTACTCTGAGCCAAGCCATGCAGTCTCTGGCCCAGTATTGTGTTTATATGGATTAGCCAAGGTCACCTAAATCAGAAGTGCTATGTTGGATTCGGCCAGGGGACATCACAGCAGCTGGTGGGCTGAAGGTCCTGCTCTAATGACCAGGAGATTGGAGTTCACCCTCAGTCCTGTGCAATTCTGTCATTTAACCCCTCCACTTCTTCCCCTGGGACGCACCAGTCATGTGTGGGTGTGATTCCTGTGTAACAAATAGGATTTAATGAGAAGAACAGACCTTAGAAAATCCCGTGCAGCTCAGTCTTCAATTAGTCGTGTAGGACTGTTGTCATCTTGGTGGCTTGATGCTTAAAGGAGGGAGATATAACCCCTTGTATCTCACAGGAGCCTTTTCCAGGTCTCCAAAGAAGAATAGAGTGTAATTTGGCACTTATTATTTCATTGCATCAGCTTTTCTGGGTCTGGGAGTGCTCTTAGCACAAGCAAATAAATTACCCATCTCATTTTGCTGCATGCACTGCAGCCAGCCATATGTTTGAGGCTGATAGAGATTCTTATCTCATGGGCTAAAATTACTGAATGGAGGATGACATTTCTTATCAAGGGCTTTGCTGAATCAGAGAGTGGCCCTGGCACCGAGCTCTGAGACACTGCTCCTCTTTGTCCAGCCTCCCGGCCCAGCAATAAATGGATTTGTGTCTGTAGGTCAAAGGTGCTTGTGTCAAGGTTTTGTTGCAGATGGAAGCTCTGACAATTGTCCATGTGCCTGGGAGGATGTGGGGTTGAGGAGGGGAAGTGAGACTGTTCATATGACTAAAACAGAGCATCACAGAGCTGGGCAAATATATATCTACTTAGAAATCCTTGTATGCACAGGCTTCACATCCAGGGGCTCCTTTCTCCCAGAGGGACAAAGGCTTTGCTTCCAGTCTGTGGTGTAAAAAGCCATCCCCTCCTACTGACAGCAACAACTTTTCTCCAGACTCAGAGCTTGCATCTCTCCATCCTCACACCCATCTCTTTAAGAACAGGTTCTTTTCCTTCCTATCTTTCCATTTCTGTCTTTGGAGGTTACCTGGTAGCCACTGATGAGTCAAGGGGTTGTCTGGTTGGTTATCAGGTAGAAGAGGGTCAGGGAAGCTTCTCCCATCAAGTCCAAGCACCTTCTTTTTGCCTTGTCTTTGCCTCTTAGAGTAGAATTGGCAACATGGGATGTTCAGCTTCTGCAATGCATCTGGGCAAAGCTGTGGATGGAGAGTGGAGGGACTCTCCAGTTGCCTTGGTGAACTCCCTAACTGAGCACTGTCCACAAAGGCAGGTTTGTTCCTAGGAGTCCTCCTGGTCAGGAAGCAAGACTAGCTACCCACCCAGCCACACAAGCATGGTCAAACTTCCTATAAGAGGTTCCTAGGAAAGGCGTCTCTGAATTAGCACTTTTTTTTCCTTGCAGGAGGGTGTCTTCCAGAGGACAATACTCTTGTAGTGTTGTACAAAGGGCAGGGTCATCCCAAATCAAAATAAATCTGATAAAACACTGTCTATGATGGGGAGAGACCTAACGTGCAGCATCAATTTCTTCTGCTAAGTGGTCTCAAATGAGTTTTTCAGTTTATCTGTGACCATGGCAAGGTATTTCACTTCCTCTTTAATTACAAGTATCTTCAAGCTGGCCTGTGGCAGCCACGTAATGTACAGCAGGAGATCAAGTCCCTGGTGTCTAGCAGAAGCCATTCTTTAGGTCAGTATAAGAGTGGTACTATGCCCAGTATGGTGAGGACATTGTGGCAGAATAGTGGGACATTGTCCTCCTGTCTGCACCCTTCCTGGCTCAATCCTGGCTCTTGGAAGCATGGGGCATATCTTTGAGTGATGCTGTCCAGGGAAGACCACTTTATTTCAGAGCCAAACTACCAGCACTGTTTTCTGCAGTGCCCCTGAGATGCCCAGAGGTAAGAGCCCTCTGTGGTGTGGCAGTGGACCAAGGCTGTGCTCTCATTGACTCCTGGGGAGGCTCCTCTGCCGTCTGCAGCAGCCATCAAGAAATGCTGGGGCTGATGAGTGCAGCATTCCCAGAGTGCCCCATCTCCCAGGAAGGGTGGCAGGGGTCAGAGGGCACCCTTCTTGTGGATGTGCAGGCATCTTCCTCCTCTTGAAACAGCATCCACCTAATGCTGTTTCAGCCTGATTTTCAGGTTTTTCTATGTCCTTCCTCCTGCATTCTGATGGTGCAGCCCAGCGTCCATCACAGCTTGCAGCTTGGGGGTCCCAGGCACCTGCAGGTGCTGTCACATGTGGGCTGGGTACTCCTTCCTTCAGACCTTTTCTCTTGACCATTTTCCCCCTGAATCATGCTGAGTCACCCCGACCTCAGTGGAGCAACCCCAGGCCTGCCTGTCAGCCTCTGGCCCTGCACCAGCAGTTGAGCAACCACTGCCCTGAGGTCATGCTGGGATGGAGGTCTCCAGGGCAGTGGATGATCAGCTAGTCCTTGGGCTTCGATCCGCAGCAGTGTCTGCATGCCATCACACCACAGTCATGCTTTCCCAGTACCTGGCTCCTGCTGAGGTGGCTGTTTATTGCCTGTTTGCCTTGGATGCAGTGCTCTCCTGTCCTGTGGGAACAGGGGTTTGCCTCAGTGGGGGATTGGGGAGGTTATGGGGACATGCTGTGTTTAGGGCGAGTGACGATCTGAGGTGACCAGCTGGTAACTCCCAGTTGTAAGCCTGGCCTGTTCAGCTGAGTGTCTGCTTTTAATACAATTGCAGGATCATGTTTGATTTGTTAAAAGAAAGAGCAGAGGGGTTTCCCTCTAACTACTGTCTGACCATTGTCTCAGCATCGTGTCTGGCTGTGATTTCTGCATTGCTGCAGATAACCTCAGTGAGCTGGACTCTGGCGTGCACTCAGTGTGTACCTTGCATACCCACGGAGTTCACCCCAGATGCCCACAGCATGCACCCTACACACTCACACTAAGCATGCTGCACACCCAGGACAGCAGCCCATGCACCCAGGGCATCATGGCATGTACCCCACACACCCAGCAAACCCAATTTCATGCACGCTTCAACCTTGTTGAGATTATGCCCTGGGTGGCAATGCTTGAGATGACAAGAACTCACATCTTTGCTTTCTGACCTTTGCTTTCTGCCCTTTGCCTAGACTGAGTTTGCAGTTTGAAAAAAAAAAAAAAAGCAAAACCTGTCATTTTATTCGTCAGCGGAGGTAATTTTTTTTCTAGAAGCTGCTAAGGCACAGTCAACCTGGAACCCACAGT